CTTCTCTGTCCCAGAGCTGACAGCCTTGGAAACTGTTCATGCAAAAAACAAAAACAAAAGCCCAAACCAGCTGCTATCAAGTTGATTCCCACTCACAGCACCCCTCTATAAGGTGGAGTAGAACTGCTCCACAGACTCCGCAGGCTGCAGATCTTTCCGGAAACAGACTTCCTTACCTTTCTCCCACAGAGCAGCTTGTGGGTTTGAACTACTGACCTTTTGGTTAGCAGCTGAGCTCTTTAACACTGAGTGACCACAGGCTCCTTCCCCGGGCAATGCCTGCACTGTTACCTACTTCATTTGTTATTTTAAATTAATGCAACTTAAATTTTTATTATTATTTTTTAATTTGGAGAGGCAGTTTGTGTAGTGGTCTTCACTGGGGGCAATTTGTCCCCAAAGGGACAGTTGGTCATACCTGTGGCACTTTTAGGTGATAGTCATGACTGAGTGGGGAGTACTACTGATATCTAGAGGTTGGAGGCCAGGGGTGTCTAAACATACTCCAAGGCACAGAATGGCCGACAGCAGAGAATTATCCAACCCCACTGTCAGTGGTGTGTAGGTGGAGAACCCCTTGGGTACTGGCTACAAACAAGCATCAACTCTGGAGCCACATGTTTTAGGTAAGGTACATGGCCTTGATGTGTCTCTTATGTATGACATTTGATTCACCTCATAGGATTACTGAGAGGAATCAGTGAATTATGTATATTGTTGTTGTTTTGTGCCATGGAGTCGGTTCCGACTCATAGCGACCCCGTACAGGGTTTCTGAGGCTGTAAATCTTTACGGTAGCAGAAAGCCTCATCTTTATCCCGTGGAACAGCTGGTAGTTTCGAACTGCTGACCTTGCGGTTCGCAGCCTGATTTGTAACCACTATGCTACCAGAGCTCCTTGAGTTAGGTATATAAGAACACCTAATACAAACACTTGGCACACAGTAAGTAAGTACTCAATAACTGCTGTCTGTTGCTGCCTCAGAACAAAGGCCTAGGAATGGACTTCCAAAAAATCAGCCACTGAAAACCCCAGAGCACAGCTCCACTCTGACACACATTGGGCTGCTATGATTTGGAACCAATGGCAATTGGTTTATTATTACTACAGTATTAGTATTTGGAGTCCTGGTGTGGTGCTGTGGATTAGTGCAATGGACTGCAAAGTCGGCTTGAACCGCAAAGTCAAGCTCACAGCCACTCCTTGGAAACCCTACACAGGGTCACTATGGGTTGGAACCGACTTGATGGCACTTAACAACAATTAGTATTTTTCTTAACATGACCATGTATATCCCTAAATGGAAAACTAGTATTGCTGGTCATAAAAAAAGGCAAGATACAAAGAAAGTTATCCAAATAGCACCATGTTTGCTAACGTACAGCAAACAGGATCTTTAGGATACAGGGGCCTACCAGGAAGTCTTCCTTGGGACTTCTAGCTAAATCAAGTGCTACCTTCCTTAATACCTGGTGAGCCTGTTCTCTCTGCACACAACATGCAGTTTAAAAATCATTCCTGTGCCAACGCCTCCATCAGACCGCTTGCTCCCTGCGGGCCAGAGCTGGTCTTTACACATCTCTGGTGAACAGCTCTGAGAACAGCTCACTAGCTGCCTATTGGTGAAGCCCAGATGATGAGGGCCCTGCTGAGAACTGAGGTTCCCACAGCAGTTTGCCAGGCACTCTTTCTTTCCTGACCATCAAAGCTAAGGATTTGGGCACAGAATAAGACTGCGTATTCAGATATAGTTAATACACTGAATTTTTGGTTCAAGCACATTTTGGTTGATCTGGAGAAGATTTTGAAACAGAGAAATTGCATGTAACAAAAATCGTATTAAAGCCTACCTTTGGAGCAAATTTCAGCAGAGAAATGGCTGTCTCCTTTAGGTAGGCCCAAGCAGGTTCCAATCCACCATAGTCCCCACCTGTCTCTATTGTCTTCCTAACATCTCCTCTACTTCAACTCTCAAATATTTCCTGCCTGGCCCTCGGGATGTTTGAGCTTGAGGCTCCTGGCTTATGTTTTTTAAGTTTTATTGTGAATTATGTGATAGTTTACATGAGAGAACATTAGTTTTACATTCATCCTATTGTATGTTGTTTCATTGCCATGGTTACAATCCCCTCCACGCATCACCAATCAACGAAAGGGTACATCCTACAACTGGCTTATGTTTTCTGGAAGTAAGTGGATGTACAGACGAGTAGCCAGAGTCCAGTATGCAATCTTTTAATTAGTGTCCCTGCTCCTAGGTCAGACTTCAGAGGAAGCCAGTGCTACCAACAACATTCCTCAGAATTCCCAATGGGAACCCGAGTGTCAGTCTGCGCTATGACCTCTCCTCCACACACACATCCCCCCACACACCGCTATAGAGATGAGAAACACTGTTTTACAGGTAGGGGGTGTGGGAGTAGGATTTCACTTTTGAAAGGGGGTCCTAACAGGAATTCTTTTTTAACAACAACAAAAACCTAAAAGCAACAACAACATATTAGTTCTCCACTCATTGTTTTATGACTCCACAGTTTCATACACTGAATTACAGAAAACTAGGGTACACCTGTGTTAGAAATAAAACTGATTTGATTTTTGAATGCTGAGGGCTTTTTTAACTTCACATAAAATTGGAACTCATCTCCAGGCGAAGCCTGCCAGAATTCCTCGGAGATGCGGGAAGATTCCATTTCAGGCACTTCACATTAGTGATATCACTTTTCAGCTCTGATGCTTTATCTGCCACCAAAGACAAGAGAAAAAAATGACATTGTGTTTGGCAAGGATGGTGACAGAAGCAAGCGAACATTCCTTTCTTCCTGAAAGCTCTGCAGGGCTCTGGCGAAATCCCACAGCTGTAGTTAGTTACCTCTCCTCTTGCAGAGTTTCTTTCAACCTGCCCTGCTTTCCCTC